CGGCAAGCATGGCAAGCGGTGCTGAGATGCTGTGGTGGTTAGCTGAATCGGATTCAAACAGGGGCTATCAGGTGCTTACAGGTGGTTGTTTACGCTTTTACTCGAGGGTTACTAACCACTCTGTGTTCCAATCACCCCTGAGCCAATCAGCAGGCCATCCAGCAAATGCCCTTGAACAATTAAACAATCTTGCTGTTTGAAGTGCACCGTTCAGGGATTAAATGGCCATGCGCTGGAATAATAGGGGACCCCAAAAAGTGGTGGCTCTCCCAGTGGCTTCCAATTAAACCAACAGGTTCAGGGCTAACTTGGCCTTTGCTGGCCTTGTTTTGCCTTCAGACTGCTGAAGCCCAAATTATCTCGAAAGCTGTTTCATGGCTCTGGCTCAGCTGCCGCCGCAATCACCGCACCTACCCCTGCAAGAGATGTGCCCCTTCCGTAAAGCCTGTCCACCCTTAAGAAAACACATGCCCCCCATTATAAGCAGAGTTTCCTTCCTCAGGTACCGAAGATCCCAAGAACCCCAAGACTCCTCAAGGATCGCCCAGCGACTTCTACGGCCTAGGGCATTCCTGCGCACGAGTTATTCGAATGGGCCAGGGATCGGCCACAACTCGTGTTCATTTGCCTGTGTGCCAGAACCAGCGATTTTGTTCTTTTTGTGTACGCAGAACAAGGGGCCCACAGGACACCAGAGGTTTCAAGAAGAGGTTTCCTGTCTTCACGCCCTCTGCCTCTCGAGCCAAAGGTGAAGGAGTCTTCGGACGTGCAGCGCAGCAGGACCCGCTTTGACCCCCCCCCGCCATGGACATGGCGGTGGTTTTGGTGGATGATTTATGGCTATCACTGGAAGGAGTTGGCGGACATCGTTCAATAGTGTTTTGCTTGCGCCACCAGCCCGGGGTGAGTTTTGGAGGGGAGCATTCAACCCTGAAGCAAAGTAAATGAATGACTGTCGAGACTTCGAAGGATCCATACCTCATTCCCACTCGCTCCTGACCCCCCTGACCAAATTGTAGAGATGGTAGAGATGGTCGCTGGTTTGTTTCCCCTTTCAAGGCGGCAAACTGGCGACACCTTCGGCAGTTTCCAGGATCACTGCCAGATCATTGCCCAGGATGAGTCTTCAGGAGAGTGAGAGCCGCTCGGCTGCAAACGCTTGCTCAACTGAAAGACGTTCTCGAACAGACCTCACTCCGCACTGTGATTTCCTGTCTGGGTACAGGCAAAGCTGGTGTAGTTTTGGCTAGGCGGGACCAAGTTTCCTTCTTAAAGGATCACACAGGCACAGACTGACCATTTTTATGCGACGCGACAGGTCAGTGTTCTATGCGTTGTTGTTGTTGTTGTTTTGTGTCATATGTTGCTGCGGTTTCTCAACCTTAGGTAATGAACAACATGTTCCTATTACTTAGCGATATGTGTGTGTGTGTGTGTGTCTTGAGTTGTCCCTTGCCTTTTGAATTTTCATTTGTTAGTGGCACCTCAAGGTGTGGGTTCTGACTGATATTAGTTTGGTAAAAGGGGGCGGGTCAGCTTCTTAGGTTTTTCCAGGTGCCGCTCTGAAAGCGTGTCTCCACACCAATGTCAAATTCTCACACATCAGCAAGAAACCAACTCCTTTAGGGGGACAATCCTCTCTGTGTGTGTATGAGTCAGAACACTTGGAGCCCTTGAGAGTTGTGGCATGAAACCGTCGCAAGACAGTGTTGTTAAGCTTGTTTTCTTGTTGGGTTTGCAGGTGTAACCAACCAAACCGAAGGGTAGCCTTGGAAGCGCTTTGGGGAGGATCGCGACATGGGCACCAAGGAATAGGAGCAAGCGGGGCACTGAAAGAAGTTGTGGATTGAACGACAGTTCAAGCATTTTCAAAAAGACATCGATCCAGTGGCCCGACTCTGGTGGTTAGGCACGTCTTTTTCCCCCGCAAGTTCCGTTTGATGGGTTCCCATGTATTACTCTGAGACATTTTTGGGAAGAAACAGACCTCTTGCAGAGGGTCGCACTCTAGATTCTAAAGAGTTCCACCAAAAGGGGCACCCTGCTCAACCTGCCTCAAATTGAGCGGTGTTACCAGCCGTGGCAGGTGCATACAATTGGGATGAAGTCCCGACGGAGTCAGTGAGTGAGGAGGCGACTCGGCGAGAGCTGCGAATTTGCGGTTGTTTGAAAAAAGTCGACCAAGCATTAATAAAATTAAGGTGGGTGACAAGGGAAGCCTAGTTTTCAGCCTGTTTGTAATGAAAACACCGGTTTCAGGACGGACAACAAAAAGTTTGGGTATTTGCACCCCGCGCAAAACCCATGGAAACCCGTAGTGAGCCCGTACAAATCTGGCATTTAAGCTATATAGAACTGCATTCTTTGCGAACATGAGCAGCGCGAACATCCGGTACTCAGCTAAACTGGCATTGTTCTGTTCTCGAGATGTTGTGTTCCTTGTCCAGTCCTAGAGAGATCCGCTGAACTGCACATCATGTCAAAGCCACGCCTTTCTGACACTCCTCTGTGCATAGGATCAAGCCTGCCTTTAGGTCAACACCACACCTGTCTGTTCTGAGTTTACACGCAGATGCCGTTCAAGCCAGCTTACTCAAATCAATCATCCATTTGCCCCGTCAGTCCGACAATCACACTTTATCCTAAAAGGTTTTCCTGCGATTGGGGAATGTAGCAAACCTGCGACCCACAAACTTGGCTGCCTTAATTTGACACTCCCCGGCATGGCAGAACATCGCTCCACACACGTGAACACTCACGCCAAACCTTTCTAAACCCCTTGGAAAGAAGAGTTTCAAGTTTCTTGGCACCCTTTGCAGGTCCTTTTGTTTGGAGGACCATGTTTGGGGTGGTTCAAAGAGACACGTCGTCCTATGTTGACACATACAACCAACAAACTCATTTTCTGACCGATTGGTTTCTCTCCAGAGGAGTGGCTCGAGGAGGAGATTGATGCTGAGGCTCAGAGGGCGTCCGCGAGGGATCAATTTTCGTTCTTCAAAGAACCTCCTTCTGAGTATTTCTTAAAGTTGCAGACCCGTCTCAAATGTTTTTAGAGAGGCTAAGAGGACATCAAGGCTATGGGGACGGGAGTCATTCAACGACAGAGAGATACTGGGATATGAGGATACGTGGGTTATTGCGGGTGCGTCTCAGAGTCAACAACCACAGGTAAGCTTGCAGAGCCCAGCGAATGTGAGTTCACTTATGGCTTCCCTCTTGCCAAGGGGATGCCCCAATTTCAGAAACACACACACACACAAACACACGCACGCAAACGCCCATGTTGTGCGCTAGCTTTCAGGAGAACAGCACTCATGTCACGAAATGGACCTGGTGAATACCAGGGTCTGTATACTGGCAGCATTTCTGCCTAGGGTCAGAACTGCAGCGGCTCCTTGCTATGCCTTGGCATTCCAGTAGCCAGTTTCCGAGAATGGTAGGAACTTCTTCATGTTGACAAAATCAACGAACAAGAACAGGTAGTCCATTGTCTTCCTATGGCCGGCTGGAGTGGTCTCGTTCAGAATGGACTACTAAATCTATATGCGCAACCATCTAACCCCCATGATTTGTATATTTTGTTGAAGCTGATTCACTGTGTAACTGAATAAGCTCTTGCTTGCAAATGGAGGGCCGGTCTATCGATTGAAAGGCTTGTCCTCTTGGGTGCTAGATACCAGCTGCAACGCAAACTGTTCAACCTTTAGAAGGTAATTGTTTTGTTTGCAGAGCCTGCCCCCAACACACGAAAGCAGAATCGGAGGACCTACAAATTAAACTACACAAGTGCCTGCTAACAACAGCAAAGAGGTGCCGTTCTTGTCCAGAAAGTGATGCCATTTTTGATGCGATGAGTTCAGTCACTGCATGTCAGGCTTTCTTTGATAGCCTAGACAATTGTTGCAAGTAGTGGGAAAGGATTGTTGTTCTCTTTCCGACAGTCATGGAGTGGGCGGGATTGGCAAGAATGCAAGGCAAAGCGGTTCCGGGGCCGTCGATTGATCCCGGCATGGTCTTAGAACCCAGCTACTGTTCCGAAGCAAGATGGGAATCCAGAAAGGGGTCCATCTCCCACATGTGCAGTGCAGCAGGTTGAATCAACCGTTGTCTCGGGTTGCTACCTTTCTTTTAGATTAATGAGGACACCTGCAGCAAACCCATTTGTAGATGAATCTCCTTTTGGGGAGGATCGTTGTGGAAATTATACCACGAGAATCCCATAGGTGACAAAGTCGTGGGGACGGCCCATCTTGGTATCACAGGAAGGACCATGTTGATCCCATTTTAGGTTCTTCCCGTTCGTTCGCAGTGCATGGCAGGTGTCAACTCCTGAAGCTGGCAGTCTTCGGCCGGCTCAGGCGGGGTCCGACTTCATTCGCCAAGGTTGGTTGAACAAGTTAGTATGTGTCAAAAGAAGGGCACCCAGCAAATTGTAGTTTGCTTTGGGGTTCCCTTTGTTAAACCAAGCTGAAAATGGTACGCTCAAACAGCACACCCATATCTCAAGTTTCTGTCCGGGCGATTCTGTTGAAAGGGAATCCCTAGGGATGGGCTCTGTGGTTCCTCTCTTTGGAATGTTCGCTTTGATGGAAATGCCTTTGCTGTTGGCCTCGCATTTCTCGCCAGCATCGCAGCACGACTGGTGCTTATCTTATTTTTTCTTGGGAGAAGCGAGGGCGGCCATTTGCTCGGGGGTGAGTCTCCACTAGGGCGTTCGCCAAAAGAGTTGTCCCCTAGAATGGTTGGTTCCTGTTGGTTTTCCTGTAATGACCAACCAATTGGGGGTCCACCATGTTGAAAACACTCATGTTCAACCAGCCGCTGCGAGTGTTCGGTTGCTGGGGAAGGCACCAGACATGAAGTTCCCTCTCCCTTTTTTTACCAGCCACAAGCATGGAACTTCGGCATGTGGGATACCTCTGTTGTTTGACGGCGTATTTCGCTGATTCTGATGAATAGCTCGCGAGGCTTCGTAGCCCAGGGTTTCCTAGGGTATCCTTGAAGGCCAAGGGATTGAAGGGCTCACAACTCAAGATTTGGGGACCCCCACGCTTTTGTTCCTTGCGGTGTCCTTGAAGCCATGGAAAGGGTACACTCAAAAAGCACAAACCCGCTAAGGGGTTGCCCACCTGGGACATATCTGAAACCACTCATTTGGGTTGCCTTCGATCTCGCATATGAGCAAGCTGTACAGGGGCTTCCCGATATGCGGCAAATTCAAGCGTAGATGATTACATACAGAATCACGCTCGCTGAATTCATTGTTCAACTGGCTGATTCTCCCTAAGTGGTTTACCCATCATAATTTATTTCACGCATCATGTGCTCCATAGGTGTTGCACATGTTTTGAGCATGTCCATAAACATATTGTGGAGGGTACAGCCAGAACTCTTCGGGAATCTGGACCACCCAATTTCCCCTCCGTGGGGAAACACGTAGTTCTGTTTGTTGCTCAAATACATTGTGCCGTAGGAGGGGCCTCGAAAGGGGTGATGCGGAAGCCATCACCATGCCCCTGTCAGAATGCAGATCGTTCGACGGGGCTTCGCTTGGAACGCTTTTCGGAAGCAAATCTGGGCGATCTCCAGAGATGGATCCCCCTCTGACGTGGTTCCATGGATCCAAAGGCTGCTTCCAAAGTTGATTAGTCAACAAGACAACGATAAACAAGTGCGGCAAGTCCACTTTGGGTGCAACCTGTGAACACTGAGTGCGCACATGGTTACAACCTGTAATGTACTACTGTAGCTTCAAGTAATATGCAAGCTGTTACGCACTACGAGGGGGTTGATATTGAAGCGATGGCTAAGACGTGTGCAAACCGAACCTTTGACTGCCAGCCGTAAGACCCCAATTCCTCCATGGGTGCAGGAGGAGCGCCGGATCAAATCAATGTCTCCTGCGAGGAGGCCGGAAGGGGCCACGATTCCGCGCAGGATGTCCACTGGTTGGGGTCGCCAATTGCCCGGACCCGGGAGCTTAGGCAAGCTTTGTGCACAGGAGTTCGCCTGGAGCCACAAATGGGAAGCAAATCCATCGTATGAGACTCCAGTGATCGTTGCGCAACCTTAAATCCGATGCCGGGTGGCTTCCTTGCAGGTGGCGTCGCCCGCGTCCACAGCCATTCCTTCACCTGGAGAAGGCACCGCTTGTGACCCCGTGCCGGCTGCAGTCACGGGGTTTGTTTTGTTGGGTGCCATAAAGGCCATATTCTGACAATCAGGGTTTACCTTTGCAGTCTTTTTACCTGTGCAGTCTTCACGGGCAACATCCAAGGAACCCTCACAGAGCTATTGCAGCTTCCCAACCTCAGGTGCTGCATTTTGCAAGTCGATGGAGCATGGTGGCTTCAAATCGCTGACCCCCCCTAAAAAGCAAAAAACAACTGAAACAACGGCCATGCACAACGACTACTTTGGATGGCCCTTGTGGTTTTGAACCTGGGAACCGCAGTTGTTGGAGGGTGCCAGTCGCTTGTCTACTTTTCTTGCTGGTTCTCAGTAGGGAATCAGGGAATGACCTCTATAAAGCATCCCTTGTGCTTTCCTGTTGAGGGGATCCCTTTCTGGTTCATACCGTAACCCAATATCCACTAGAATTTCCCTGCCGAGAACCAGCAAGTTTTGCCAAGAGGAACATGCGCCACAACCATTTTCCGGGTATGCGAAGGTGAGTGAAGAACCATTCCAACCATGACTAGGTCGTTGGTGCCGCTAGTTTGATTCCTTACATGGGCAGATCAATTTGATAGCAGCTTTGATTGTGGCTGGGGGATTGGAGTGAGAGTTCAGGCCTTGAACACAGTGCAGCCCTCGTGGCGCCCTAAGCGGGCGTTAGGACTCAGGACGTGCAAAGCTTTGCTCGGCACGAGTTTACCACAGCAGGAACACATAAACCAAACTGCCTCTGCCTCACGACCAACAAATAACCAACGGTTGCCCTAAAGGAGATTGCATCGTAGCCAAAGCATATTCTTGCAACGTAGCCTTCGAGCGTCTACCGCCTGTAGATCGCCGCTCGAAGAGAATTCGTGGGTTTCTGCAAGTGTCCTGCTTTGCCATGCTGAAGATCACATTTACCAGCTGATTCAGAGAATCCCTTTGTGAAAGATGTTATTTGAGGATTAAACTTTTCGGGATCCCTGCTTTTTGCAACTCGATGGTGCAACCTGGAACATCCTAACCGAGCAGAACATGTTTTGGGGAGGTTGCCCAAATTCATATTGTAGACCTGTCATTTTCTGAGAAAAGGGCGGCAGCAGGCCCTTCTCTTCACAATGGTTCTGTTGTTAACATCATATATTTAATATCTATCAATATATCGCCCTTTTCTCAGAAGATCCTAAAAAAAGCTCGAATCTAGCCAGCCTTGGGTTTGGTTGCCCTTTAGTGTGACATTTACTTTGTTGGCATTGGCTTACTAACTCGCAAACGTCTATTTGTTACAGGGGTCATGGACCGACCCATCGGGGTGTTTCCTCAAGAATTCTGCAAGAATTCTTCGATTCCCAACTGATGTGCAACAGGCGGACTCGAAAACAGTCAGCTGAGGTCAGCTCCTGCAGATGCCGACAGGCGGGACATGAGTTTTGAGTGGCGTGAGTATTAGGGACGCTCTGGTGGGCATCCTTTCAATTGGATTTCTGTGGCGTCCCCTAACCGCTTGCGGGGGGCTCCCTTATCACAACTTGCAGCATGGGCTTGTCTTCAGGTTTTTGTTTTCACCAGTTACATGATTTATAGTTGAAGGAAAACCAGAAGGACAGAAAAGTCCACAATGGGGGCTTTCCCTTTAAACTCATAGGATCCGGACCACACATCCCTTGTTTCCGAAAACCCGACCACTTTGAAAGCCAAGGAGATGACTGGAGCCCATTCAATTAGAACGGCGAATCGATCTCGTGGTTTGCGATTGACCTCTAAAAGGCACAGCAAAGTGATCGTATGCTATTGTGGGTCCTTTACAGGTTGCACTCAGCGCGCAAGTGTTGCAACGGGCGAGCGTTGAGGAAAGTCCGCTTAGCTTGAGTGTAAACTGTAACAAAAAAAAACGATTGTGAGTCTGCAGCGGGGTTCTTGGACCTATGGATTCCGCAATTGACGCCCAGCAAAAGAGTGCCACGATAGACAGGCCTATTGCCTTTTTGCGTTGGTGGGGCCTTGGCCAGCACACGACTTCGCTCCAAGTACTTACCCTCCCCACTAACATGGAAGCTGACTGGAGGCCATGGGAAAACCATTGTCCTCTCAAAGGGACCCTGTCGTCATCTGCCATGTTAGTTGGAGGGAGGGTAATTGTTTGGATGTTGGTTTGGTGAAAGGGGCTTGGCCTTTGCGCATTCTATCCACAAGTATGAGGTACTTGCACCCTCTGGTTCTGCAATAGACGAATAGACGGCCTATTGGGCCGCCCCACCTTTTTCAGGTTAGGGCCTCGGCGAGCATGTGACTTTAGGTCACATTGAGTCTGGCGAGCCTACCAGCCGACAGGCCTCTTGCGCAGTTGAACGGCGGACTTGGCGAGGAGGGGCGGAGTGAGACATCGAGGTCGCGAGAGAGCCAATATGACAGCATTACCCTTGACATATCTATGTTCTATGTTGCATGTGTATAGTTTGTGAGCAGTTCCACCGAAGATGTCTCAGGCAACCACGGTGCCAGGTGATATGACATGCCCGTATAAACATAAGCTCATCTATATGTATACGTATATATATATATATGTATGCCATGCGCAAACATTTGCATAGAAGCACACACACTGTATTGTGGTAAGCTCGCCAAATGAGTCTAAACGCATGGGGCTTGCGTGTAGGCAATACAAGATACCAAGAGGCCCTTTCAGCGTCTTAACCCAAGTCCTGGAGCGCCGTATGGTGATTCAGGAGGTATGTTGAACTAGATTCGTGAGTCTTTTTGGTTCGCAAAGATGACCGCAGACGAGGAGATGGAGGCCGCGCGAGAAGAACCAGTTTGGCATGTTGACTCCGCTCTTCCACTACCTGCTTTGCTGAGGATTACAGTAAGTCCGCAAGGCGTATATCAACTGTTTCGACCCTCAGGCGCTATGGCTTAGCCCATGCAGCCCCATCCCCAGATTTCCCCAGTCCCAGGTCCCAGCGCGGACACTTAGATACGGACTGATGTGGGCTCCAAATCAAATTGATTCTGAAGCACATGACCGGCGTCTGGAACATCAACTTACCGCGATGATTTAGAGGCTCCCCTTCTTTTTGCGTGACAGGTGGAATTATCCTTCCGTTGTCCATAAAGTGACGGGGGAAACCGCATCGCCTGAATCACAAAGGCGCTTGGCCAGCCGCGAGATAGGAAATGCCCAATTTTGAGTGATTGAATATCCAGTCGGATGCCAGCAAGTTCAACATGTCTAGACACGGCTTCGAAGCTTGTCAAACGCTTCGTGACCTAGGACACGTCCACATAGACCCCCCGCTTTTAGTGGACAGATATTCCTCTCCGTAAATCTGTGCGTATACATGGACTTTTCATTCAGAGGCTTTTTGGGTTTTCCTCCAATGGTACTCTATGTAAAGGATCTTTTGATCAACCCCCACATGTTTTTTTTTGCAGGGAGCCCTTTTTGGGTTGGCTTAAAGTGAAACCAAAAGGAAGTAAAATATGTTTTGGGGCACCCCTACTTGGAGTGAACGGCTCGAAGGAGGTTCTCCCATTGGAGCCCCTGTGTTTCGGGAATCGCATTTCAGGAGGCGCCTGAGGCCGAGAAGCGAGAGGCTTCCGGAAAGAAAGGGACCCAAATTGAATTTGTCTCAACACAAGTTGGATCCCAGACTTGGTATGGAGGCAATGCCTGCTGAAAGATAGGGGATCTCAGGACGGCTTACAAATAGGATGTGGACCCACAAGGGAGCTGTTCCTTTACCCTCAAAACACACATGCTCGTTTGCACGCAGTATCATTGACCACAAACTCTCATGTTGCTGGGTTGCTTCAAGCTGTTCCAAGGTGATCACAACGCCTTTGAGTAGAATGCTTTGGTGTCCTTTGGTTTTACTCTTTGGGCCCAATTTCTACCCCTTGTGTCCCAACTGTTTGGTTTACAAAAAGGGTTGGTCAGAACTGGTCAATTGTGCTTTTGTGTGGAGGTGAGGCAGCAGTCGCAAGTGAGAATAAAAGGGGCCTCTCAACCCTCTTTAAGGCGTGCCTTCATTTCCCCAAGGGTAGTCGGACCTGCTTCAGAAGTGCAATGCCTCAAGATGCCCCCCATCGCCCAATTCAAGTATAGTGAGGTGGGCACGTCCACTAAGGGGTCCCCGGGCAAATAATATATATATATAATATCATACATATATATGTATGCATATTTCACATGAAGAGAGCTCACCATGATGTAGGTCCATTACTTGGGGATCCCTTATTTTAGGTTTTATCCCATGACATGGTGTTTGAAGATCTCTCACATAGCCAGCGAGGAGCCAAGCAAAAAGGGCGTGTGTTTCTTGAGGGTACCCATTTCAGGTTGGTGTAAAGGGAGACCAATTGGAAAGCCGTCTGCGTGTTGACACCCTGCCCATAGTCGCACTTGTACAGCTGCTGGAAGGTCATACATTTTCTGGTTCATCAAGCCAGCATGGACATCTGGCAGGGATGTTGCGGAGCCCGATGAATTTCCTTTGGCGCTTCCACAGTTGCGTGGAAAGATCCAAAAACACGCTTGCCAGTGGGTTGCCAAGGATGGAGGAACATGGCTGATCCTTTTAGGGGGGTTGGTTCCATTCAGCATGGTCATGGCCCACTTCGAGACTTTGGTCACATAGTTTGCCGGGCAGTTTGCTCTTTCAGGGTTAATACCATGATGCAGGACTCTAGCTTGGATTGGATCAAAACTGGGGAATTCACTTTTGGACAGAACTGAGCCAACCTTAGGGCCTCCAATTTGATGCGGGATGGTTCAAAAGGCAATGGGACACACAACAAACCTTCGGCTGAGCCCTTACCCTTGAAAAGATACGTGGCTGTTTTGGACGGATAAGGGCCCCCGCCAAAGGAGGATTCTACAACTCATGAGCGGAGGGCTTCATTCTGAGCTAGCAACGGGCGGCAAAGGAACACCCCCCCAGATTCCCCGACAATACATTTGCCCCAACATGTCAATCGCCGGAAGGCGGGAGCTGCAAGCTAGGTTGTTAGATTTACAAGGGGGTAAAACCTTACAATGATCACGAGGCTACCTAGTACAATAGTGCCCCACAACCACATTTTATTCAGGCGCCTGTAGTGGATACACCATGGACGCCCTACTGATTGAATTGTTGCCACTCGATCTTTTAGACCCCCTACTGGCTGCCCCAAGGAAAATGTGGACCTCCGACAACGAGGTCAGAGTAACAGAGAATAAGCAACCTGTCCCTATACCGAAAGTCCTGTTGCTGCCATCCATAGTTGTTTGAACACAAGCCCGTTAGACCCCAGGCCAGCCGCTTTCCTCATAGTGTTTACAGGAACGTTCCCTTGGACACCTATTCTATTAAAGAGTCAAATGAAATCACGGAGAAAGAGCCTCAACAATTCTCGCAAGCACCCCGAAAAGCAATGTATTTTTGCGGCATTGGGTTTCCATCCGTGCTCGGCAGGCTCAGCCAGAGCCCAGGCGAGGAGCAAATAACGAGCACAGCAGACCAGTGGTGTTCTTTTTCCTTTTGGTTGAGGGGTTGTCCTTGGCATGCAGTACCAACCAAACCGGTGCCTAGTGGTTGAGGGGTTGCCCTTGGCATGCAGCACCAACCAAACCGGTGCCTAGTGGTTGAGGGGTTGCCCTCGGCATGCAGTACCAACCAAACCGGTGCCTAGTGGTTGAGGGGTTGTCCTCGGCATGCAGTACCAACCAAGCCGGTGCCTAGTGGTTGGGGTTGTCCTTGGCATGCAGTACAAACCAAGCCGGTGCCTAGTGGTTGAGGGGTTGTCCTTGGCATGCAGTACCAACCAAACCGGTGCCTAGTGGTTGAGGGGTTGTCCTCGGCATGCAGTACCAACCAAACCGGTGCCTAGTGGTTGAGGGGTTGCCCTCGGCATGCAGTACCAACCAAACCGGTGCCTAGTGGTTGAGGGGTTGCCCTCGGCATGCAGTACAAACCAAGCCGGTGCCTAGTGGTTGAGGGGTTGCCCTCGGCATGCAGTACCAACCAAACCGGTGCCTAGTGGTTGAGGGGTTGCCCTCGGCATGCAGTATCAACCAAACCGGTGCCTAGTGGTTGAGGGGTTGCCCTTGGCATGCAGTACCAACCAAACCGGTGCCGAGGGGTTGAGGGGTTGCCCTCGGCATGCAGTACCAACCAAACCGGTGCCTAGGGGTTGAGGGGTTGCCCTCGGCATGCAGTACCAACCAAACCGGTGCCTAGTGGTTGAGGGGTTGTCCTCGGCATGCAGTACCAACCAAACCGGTGCCTAGTGGTTGAGGGGTTGCCCTCGGCATGCAGTACCAACCAAACCGGTGCCTAGTGGTTGAGGGGTTGCCCTCGGCATGCAGTACCAACCAAACCGTGCCTAGTGGTTGAGGGGTTGTCCTTGGCATGCAGTACAAACCAAGCCGGTGCCTAGTGGTTGAGGGGTTGCCCTCGGCATGAAGTATCAACCAAACCGGGGCCTAGTGGTTGAGGGGTTGTCCTTGGCATGCAGTACCAACCAAGCCGGTGCCTAGTGGTTGAGGGGTTTCCCTCGGCATGCAGCAACAACCAAACCGGGGCCTAGTGGTTGAGGGGTTAGTCCTTGGCATGCAGTACCAACCAAACCGGGGCCTAGTGGTTGAGGGGTTGCCCTCGGCAAGCAGTACCAACCAAACCGGTGCCTAGTGGTTGAGGGGTTGTCCTTGGCATGCAGTACCAACCAAACCGGTGCCTAGGGGTTGAGGGGTTGCCCTTGGCATGCAGCACCAACCAAACCGGTGCCTAGTGGTTGAGGGGTTGTCCTTGGCATGCAGTACCAACCAAACCGGTGTCTAGTGGTTGAGGGGTTGTCCTTTGCATGCAGTACCAACCAAATCGGTGCCTAGTGGTTGAGGGGTTGTCCTTGGCATGCAGTACCAACCAAACCGGTGCCTAGGGGTTGAGGGGTTGCCCTTGGCATGCAGTACCAACCAAACCGGTGCCTAGTGGTTGAGGGGTTGCCCTCGGCATGCAGCACCAACCAAACCGGTGCCTAGTGGTTGAGGGGTTGTCCTTGGCATGCAGTACCAACCAAACCGGTGCCTAGGGTTGAGGGGTTGTCCTTGGCATGCAGTACCAACCAAACCGGTGCCTAGGGGTTGAGGGGTTGCCCTCGGCATGCAGTACCAACCAAACCGGTGCCTTGGGGTTGAGGGGTTGCCCTTGGCATGCAGTACCAACCAAACCGGTGCCTAGTGGTTGAGGGGTTGCCCTTGGCATGCAGCACCAACCAAACCGGTGCCTAGTGGTTGAGGGGTTGTCCTTGGCATGCAGTACCAACCAAACCGATGCCTAGGGGTTGAGGGGTTTTCCTTGGCATGCAGCACCAACCAAACCGGTGCCTAGGGGTTGAGGGGTTGCCCTTGGCATGCAGTACCAACCAAACCGGTGCCTAGGGGTTGAGGGGTTGCCCTCGGCATGCAGTACCAACCAAACCGGTGCCTAGTGGTTGAGGGGTTGTCCTTGGTATGCAGTACCAACCCAACCGGTGCCTAGGGGTTGAGGGGTTGCCCTTGGCATGCAACCAAACCGGTGCCTAGGGGTTGAGGCGTTGTCCTTGGCATGCAGTACCAACCAAACCGGTGCTTAGGGGTTGAGGGGTTTTCCTCGGCATGCAGTTTTAACCACGCTGGTGCCTGGTTTGCCCATGGCCACTGGAGGTGTGGGTTGTCCAAGCATCTAGCTGCACAACAGTTTGTGCTCCCATGGAGGCGTTGCGTTTAACAGGATCGAGCTGTCGAGCCGTTTCGAAAAGGTGACCAAAGAAGGGTACAATTTGTTATGGGTTTGGTTTCCAAGCTTCCCGTTACGAGACCTTTGTGCCATGGTCGGGAGCAGCCCTGGTTTAGGTTCAGAAGCGGAAAAGCACCGAACGCGGTTTGACGTCCGATATTAGTATGACTGGTGTGCGGTGCTGGACACATCACATTCACATGTTCGGCAGATACCGTGCACACACTATTTGATTGCCACATCACAGGATTGGGCAGGCCGAAGTCTTCAAACCCATGAACTACCACATACCTGGACCTTCCTGCATGCTCAAAATTTCTGCCTTTTCGCTACGAATTGCTTTTTGGGGCAATTGCGCGTGTTTTTTGCCTACGGCCTTTTTTTGCTCAATTTGGGTGTTACCCTCAATCTCCCCGAATCTACAGGCGAAAATTCCCGACCAACAGGCGACAATTCCCGACCAACAGGCGAACATTCCCTACCGCGGCGCAAACAAAGATGACCGCCGGCGTTTTTTCGCCCTAAAAGCATTTTTCCACACCAAAGGCAAAAAAACACGTGTTTTTTGGCCAACGCCTAAAATTTTGGACCTCCAGAAGGTCCAGGTATCCTTTTTCCCGTGATTGTTGAACAAGATAGTCGATGTTCAGTTGCGTTAGCCCTGCAATTTCATTCGGTGAAGTAGTCAACGAGAGGTTTGTACCTCGAATTCTTGCTGGTTTAGGCACACCAAGGTTTTCTCCTCGTGAACCTAAAGTCAAAGATTTCATGTCCATACTGGCATTCCAAGGTCGTTGCTTCGTTTTCTAGCAAAAGGAACACTCTGCTCAGATTCTCGTGTTAGTTTGTTAGCTCGTTGCCGACCGAGCCTGGCAGCCAGGGGCGAAGAAGCTTTGACACACTTGCGGCCTTTGAAATCGAATGTTTGGTACATGTAGCATCCACTAAGTGGATGCGGACCAGAGTGTGACCAGCTACGTGTACAGAGGCAGCTGCCACACTCTACCTGGGTGACCATCCCAATTAGTAAGTGGTCTATAACCCTGCTTGGGACTCATCCCACCAGTGCAGTAGATGCTTACACTTCCCAACCGGGGTTGCTCACCACTCGCAGGTTGCTGGTCATCCCATTGGGAATGTGATAACAACGGGAACTAGATACGTAGGAGGTGTGATTCCGGCCATTCCCTCCCAGCCTTTGCGAAGGTGTCTCACCTCCCCTGTCTGAATCCATTGATTTGACGCGGCACATGTCAACATGTCAACATGGCAGAACATTTGATGCTCCGAAGGAATTGGGCAGTGGCGAGCCTTTTGCCTTCTTTGGGACTGGATGCAAGCCTCTCAGGCAAGTAGGCCTCCAGTAGGCCTCCATTGCATCAGTCCGGCGTTACTGAATGCTATGCCGAAACGGAAATGTACATGTCTTCGAATTCGAGAATCTTACTGGCTGGGATGTTGAGCAAAAGAGAGCGAGTCATGAATATGTTCTTGCGCCAGGCAGTCCAGACTGAAACAGGATTGTGCGGACAGAATGCCTCGCTGTTGATTGCATTGCCATACAATGCTTTACATTGTTCATCCATTTGATGCATTAAAGTACAAGCGTGATTCAACCACGAACTGCAGTTGTTCATTGTCAGGAGTGCCTTGAGGAAGCTGATGCCTCATGGCATATCGGTTCGCAGCTGACGAATCGAAAGCAGGAAGCACCAAGGCTAGCAGGGGGTGAGTCCAGTCGGTTGCACGCGCGCACCTCAAGCTGCTTGAACTGTCAGCCTTGGGAGAAGGAATGGCAAACGTAGTCAGTCCTGCTTAGACAACCTTATTCAGGGATGCCTTTCTAAGCCCTGTTTGGCCTTTAAGCATCGCCCTTTTGGCAAATTTGAGGTGAGGTCCCTTGGTAGGGTGTTTTTTTTCACGGATCTCTTGGAGGATACCTATCGGAGGCATGCCAAACTTGTTCCAAAACTCGGGGCCAAGCACAACCCTGGTACGCGCATATCAAGAAATATCCCAGCCAGTGGCGAGTTCTTGCTTGAATGCTTTCGGATGTGTGGATCAGTGAATCAGCCACAACGTGGCGAGAAAGCGAGATCGAGAAATTACTCGCAATGACGCATGTTCTCTCAGATGACCATAGTAATAGTGTTTGCTTTCGTTGTCGACATGTTTCCTAGTCGGCACATTGGAATCCCTATGAGGGTGAGCACTGGCATTTGTCTTAGCTCGCCAATTGTCAAGGACCCCTGACCAAAGGAACCCGATTGATTATTGATCCCCTCTCTTGTTTGGTGGCTTCCCCACCAAAAAATGATGAACCCCAAAAGAACAGGTTTCCTTCCTTCGGGCTGGTTGCAAACCGAGCCATGGCGGATGTCCTGCAGAGTGCGGTCGCTTTCCAGCTGCACTGGACCCTGGTGCCGCAGACCCAGGAGACGGAGCGGCAGGTGGCCAACATCGGGAGCCAGGCGCGTACGCAAAAAGCGCAAGGTCCGCGGCAAGTGCTTTTTATTTGTTGTGCGGGGCTTTTCGGGTAAGTTCAAAGGCGAACCAAAAGGAAACCTATTTGGGGGGGGTGTCCTAATTTACACCCATTCCATAGGGTTCCTTGGCATCTTGTGAATTACTTGTGACTGCTTGTTCGAAGCGCTCCTTGGCACGTTTTTGGATTCAGACTGGCACGTTCACCGAAGATTATAAAACGGTGAGCATTCCTCGCGTGGGGCTTGATGGACTTTAGACTTGCGAGTCACTCTGATTCTGCATATGAAACAACCAGCCAAAGTTATCTTGCTCGGAGGGGGCTAGTTTTGGGGGAGAGGGGGAGTAGATAGTAGAAACCATCGTTTCAGTTGGAGCAACCCGTTTTGTTGTCTGTGAGCGGGAGTCTATTCTTTCGGCTTCGGTTGCTTTTTTAACATGGCAGTGTCCCCGGCTGCCCACCACAGCACCTGGAATCACGATGACATCTCGAGCTTGAGAATAGACTGGGAGTGGCCTTTCCGAAGTTGTCGTTTTCTGAGGGTCTTTGTTTCATCTCATTGAATGTCCAATTTGCGAATGATCGTACTTCATTTGTGCGGACAGGCTTCTCTGGTGCGTGTTTGAAGTTGCGCAGTTTCTTTTGGAGACTGCCAGCTCAAGTTGCAAGTCACTCATAGACTCCTGCTGTTGGGTCAGTTCATTCCGAGGGCATGTTTGTTGCACCCAATGGGTCGTGTGTTGTCGGTGTCCTTTTGCACGCAATCCAACGCACAACCAAGCACGGGTACCGCACGTATGCATGGGTTTGGCTCAGAACGAGCCTCCACGTAGTGAAACATATTTTGTCTTATCTCAAGGGTAACCATCATGACACTAACCATTGGGAAGAGTCGCTTTGGCTGGTTGAACATGGCGTGATATTTGTTGAGCATCATCGAGGCCTGCCGGACATTCTTTACATACTCCTTTTTCTAGCCTTTGTTGTGGGGCTTGGTTGACCAAGTTGGACTTTTACGGGGTGGTTTTCTTGGACCCTTCGAGTGATATGCTTTTGGGGGGGCAACATGCTCCCTGTGCGAGTCAGAAGATGTTAGATC